TGAAGGGAATGCTGTACTGTGGGACTGTGTTTCTGGAAGGCTGCTGAGGCAGGTTCAGGTACACACACGTGCATCTGCACTGCCACTGAATTCAGAGTAGCATTTGGTCACTCCCAAAGGGGAGTTACAATGCTTGAAAAAAATTAACTTCTGGAAGTAGACTAAATTCAATAGAAGTCTAGCAGACGGTGATAAAAATGGTACCTCCCTCTTACTATGGCTTTGTAACCTCGTCCGCTTCCTGGAAACAAAACCGCTGCTTTCCCGGTGTGAAAACTTCAGGTCTTTTAGCAAATAAGTCGATGAAGCTATACTTAAACATCAAATACAGAAACAAATACAAATACAAATACAGAAAATGCTTGTTAGCATACAAAAAGTTAGACTAAATTTAATGTTAATTTACTTAGGTGTTTTGCTCTCCAGTCGTGTTAGAGCCATTCAGTGCATGTGTGCCCAACGTGTACAGATCAGTGCGCACGTGTACCCATGTGCAGCTCAGAGCAGTGAACGTGGCACTCCTGTACCACCGAGGAAGTGGTTTAATTCCATTTGACGAAGGCCTGTGTGGGAATTACTGGCTGCTGGCATCCATCTCCAAGTCTCATTGTTATAGATGAGGGAGTCAGTCTCGGTGGTGCTTGGCACGGAGGGAGAGTGGCGGGCCGGGGGCACCGAGGAGCCAGTGTGCTGCTGGCACGGGCAGAGGGCCACTCACCAGTGGGTATTGCCATACGCAGTGATGTGGAGAAGCATATGCAGGCAACAGAGGCAAGGGTGAAAGAAAAAAAACAAAATGTGCCGTAAGTATCTCTAGAAAGAGCTAATGACTGATAAATGTGTTGAATAGAGACAGCAGAAATCATTTTTTGTGGGTTAATTTCTATCTCTGTTGATTCAGTCAGGCTCCTCTTCGCCAGCATTTACTTAATGAATCCTGTTCTTCTTTCCATCTCAGTCCTTATCTTTGGTGCCCTATCCATAATCATCCTCTACAACATTTAACACTTTTCATAGTTGTGTCTGGAACAAAAATGTTTCCCAAACAGTATTACTGTTCACAAACAACCAGTGAACAACTATTGTAGACCTATTGTGTTGTGGATAGACTTGGAATTGTTTTATTGTGTGCTGTAGGACCAACACTGCAGATAGGTGATAGGGGAATTCTTAGCTCAAGTGGGGCTCAGAAGGCAGCAAGGGGCTAATTCTGAGTTCCTCTCAAAAGTGGAATTAGGAGGCACTATGAATAATCATGCTACTCAAAACATCATGTGAAGCTTTTTGGAAATACAGATTATTGTAATACATAGCTGTCCTGATGCATATCCAAAATCTGTTGGAACATAGCTCAGTTTTTGGATGTAGAAACATTGTTTTGTGGAATCCAAGAGGAGAGTAGCTGTTGGAGTAGGGATCAGGAGTAGCAGTTCCTGTGTGCTGGTCTCCTTTTCCCAGTTTCAAGCTGCACATTATATGTGCAAGCATTAAAAGTTTTACTGACTTTCTAATGAATCCAGAGAACGTGTGCTTTGCAAACAAGATACAGCGTTTATTTCTTTTCATAATTTGAGAGCATCATCTTCCCGACCAAGTCTAAAAAAAGCTGAACAAAGGATGACTTTGTTTCTGTATAATTCATGAAACCTCTACAGTCGTAACCTTTTAAACAGTTATTTTTATTTAAGATGTGTAAATTTCAAATCTTTTTTTAATGGGGTACATAAATGACATAATAAATGTTTCTTTCCAAGATATGGTGCATAATGTATTTCACAAGCAGTTACTGAAATGTGATAGGTTGAGTATATGAATAGCATATTTTATGTAAGTACAATATGTTAACATGGTATATAATAGAATTAAACAAGCTGTAATTTAATTTAGCTCTTTAGCTCCATAAAGCTATAGGGGTGGGGAAGCTATTGTCTTTCAGAATTAAAGTTCTTTTTAAGTATTAGCAGAAGGACGATTATTTGCTGATTCTGTATCAAAATTCTGTTGAAGTGCCTAATGTAAAAATTGCAGTTCAAGTCAAGAGAGGTTTGAAACTAAGTTAGGACATCAATTTAGTATGATTGCTTGGGGGTTTTTAAAGGGAAAAAAAATCTATATAATATTATTTTGAATAGTTAACATACAGTATTTCAACAGGGGAAACGCTGATTAGATCACCACAATCTATTTTATGCCATCAGGATTGCTGAGGGGGCTTATAATTGTGTTAAATTTTCATATTACTCATATTCACACATTAATGAACAGATGCATTGTTACTATTGGGATTTTGCCATTTGGCCTTTCACATCTCTAATCATGATTTCCTACTGAGATCTTTACCATTCTCGCAGAAATCCAGTCATTGATACATGGCCGTCCACCGCATTCATTATTCCCCCGCTTGTTTGTCCGCGGCTCTCCCGGAATCACCGGCGGAGTCGGGTTGCGGGGGATACTCGTTTGTAACACGAGCCCTCCGGCGGGGGGGGAGGAGGACACTCCGGCACTCGGGATTTCACCGACAAGGCACCAACTCACTCCCCCCGGGGAAGTCACACCGGGCCCGTCCCGGCGCCGCTCCGAGCGGCTGCAGCGGTTGCTTCGGGGCCGCGGAGGGGCGGGGGGGGCGGGCAGGGAAACGGGAGGCAAGGCAGGGAAAACCGGGAGGTAGGGAGGGAGGCAGCGGGGCCCCGGCAGCCCCGGGCGAGCGGCTACTGTAGCTTTAAGGCGGCAAGTTAGACAGAAGACTTGTGTTTCTTTACGAGCGCACCGCGGCGAATATTTTGTCTAGCTGCAGGGGAAAAGCTTTGTCGTGGACTTTGCTGACAATGGACTTAAAAGTAAGGCGGGCTGCTTTTAGTGCCTGGAGGCTCTGGAGCCCATTGTCAGCTCACAATGGATCCCTATTGCCGCATTCCTGCTTTGCAAAGGTTTGTTGGCTTTTAATGACTGACAGCCCTCCGCCGCAAATACCGCATTTGCTCCGGCCTGTTTACACGCTGCTCCAGAGTTTTCAGAAAAGCACAGGGGAATAAAAAAAATACAATATTAAAGGGAGGGGGGGAAAAAGTGGCGGCGTTTATCTGATCTATTCACACTGGGGAAATGGTTTCCTTCGTGGGTGCTTCGAGGGGACGGACAAACTTCAGCAATAGGTGCGCAAGTGCCCGGAGCCCGGCGGCAGCAGCCCCGGCACGGACCCTGCTCTGCACGGCAGCGTCTCCCGCCCGCCTCCTTAGGATTTCATGGCGCTTTTAGGGATTCTGTCAGAAAAATCGCACTCGGGCGAGCCCGGGGATCAGCGCAGGGAGCGGCCCTGCCCGCGGGCGCACGGGAGGAGATCGGGGTGCCGCAGCGCGAATAAAAATGTCACGGAACAAAATACCCTCCTGTGCTGTTCGCTGGGATCCGTAGCTTGTCGCTACGCTCCCGGCGGGATGCAGGCGTGGGGCTTTGCCCGGCGCGCGTCTTGACTGTCCGTCCGTCTGTCTGCCTGTCGGCGCACAGCCGTGTGCGAGGCAGCGGCGGGGGTGATGCGAGATGCAGGAGGGGCATCCCCGTGCCCGTGTCGCTGTGGTTCCCAGCACTGACACTGCGCTGGGGTGGCTTGGTTTTGAGGGAGCCCGGGCTCGCTCAGCCCCTCGGGAGCGCGGGGGCTCTGCGGGGCTGGCGGGGGAGAGCGCGCCGCGGAGCCGCCCCGAGGAACCGCAGCGCCGCCGAGCTTCAAGTTGGGGCTTCAAGAAAGGAGGCGGAATTAGCCCAAACGAGATAATGAAGGTTGCTCGTAATGGTTTTTACTGTGGGGAAAATTAACCAGTTGCTAATAATTGTATGGTCTCTAGGCCAGACGGTCCCTTTGATAAGTTAACATGTACTCCCTTTATGCTCCTGGTAGGGGGTAAACAAATGCCTGAACAAATACAAATACACATAAACACAAATGTGGAGAATAGCAGTATATGTCTTAGATCCAGATAATAAGTGTGGGTATTGTTATTTAGATGGCACATACTGGGACACTTATCTTTTAGTACACTCCATTTTCTAACTGAATGCAATGCTAATCGTGGGATTGAAAGCTATTGTAATTGTGTACCCATCTAAATGCTGACAAGAATATACAATTACATTGTTTGGAATTGAGTTTAATGTTCTCTGAATTTTATTAGCATTTATATTTACTTATGCATTAAAATTCTACACAAAAAGAGGTCAGAACACAAGAGTTATAGACATAAATATCAGACCCATCCACACCCTCGCTGTATTTTTCCTGAAAATACTGAACAAATATATTTTATTTTATTTTATTTTTAAAGGAAGTGATAGAATCTGAAATGAGCAAATAATGGGTTTCCATTCTAAGCAATGCCTTTTCTCCCTCTGGATTTTGCAGTCTTTTAAGGCTTTTTTCATACCCAACTTTTTATTATTATTTATAATGTGCGTGTTACCGGAAAAATCTTTCCACAGTATGCTTACCACCACACGATGTTTAAACACACATTATAAAGTGGAAGTAATTGTAAAGGCTCAGAGGGATATAATTACATGTAGCAGATTTAGGACCTAATTCTTTGCTTCTCTCTCTCTTTCTCTGTCTCTGTCTCTTTACTCCGCATTTTATCAACATAATTATTTTTTGACTGCAGACTAACACCCAGAAATTGACAGGCATCCATTATAGGCAGCAACTTGTTCACCAAATTGAAAAACAATGAACTGCAGGTTTATATGTGCCCCATTGTCATACAGAATTACCGGAGCTTTGTTCCACTAGAGGAAAAAGCTAATGGTTTTGAAACAGCAGGTGACAAAACACATTCTTTTTTTTTTTTTTTTCTCTTCCCTCCCCTCTTATCAGTTTGTTGATGAAGTCATTATGAACTGGGGCCCAGAATAGGGTTGGCCTTATTTTTAGCAGATAGACTTTTAATGAGTTCTATTGTGGAGACAGTCATGTTGATTTGCTTACATTTTTTTTCCCCCCCTTCACTCAGAAACTCCCAGTATTGAAAAGCTACTATCAAAGGACTGGAAAGACAAGCTTCTTGCCATGGGATCAGGGAACTTTGGAGAAATAAAAGGTAATGCTGTTTCTGTGCTAAAGGAAATTGAGAATGAATATACAAATACCACTGGCTTTATGGAACTTTGTCTGCTCCTCTTCCCCTCCCCTTCAAACATGGTAATTTGGGGTTTAAATGAAATGTATGTACTCCCATCTGTGATAATATAAATCAGTGAAATGGTATATTGCCCCGAGTGAACAAACTTACGTAAAGCTTTTGTTGCATATATCATTCTGTGTTATAAACGAAGACATCCTTTTGCTGGATTGGAAAAAAAAAAGTCAAGTCATATATCAAACGTGTGGTATCAGAGTATAGCAGAGCTCAGCTTCTGAAATCTGAGGGTGATCAGAATTCCTTGTTAATTTTTAGACAGATTTTGATGATGTAGATTTTCTCTTTATTTTTTTGCATGTAGGAAAAAATAAAAAGAGCAAAGTTTGTGTAATGATACCTCTAGGTACTGAAATTAGCCAGTGCAGATTTTAAAAGACAGCGTACAACATCTGTGCACTAAAGCATGTTCTTTTAAAGCCGTACTCCAGAAGGAAAATGACAAAATTTGACCACTCTCCAGCAGCAGTAGCTTCTGCTTTGCCAAGATATTTCCCCATTTTATATACGTGAGGTCATTTTAGGGAACCTGTAGTTGTTTGTTTTCATGTAATTTAATATTTTCATAATTCCTCTGCAGTGCTTATGATGAGGAAGTGACTCAAAACACACGTGTCAAAAATTTTAAGTTTCTAGAGCAGCCATTGTCACTCTGAAAAGAAACAGTGACTCTGATTCTTCTCCCATTTGTATTGGTGTACATCTGGAGTAGCAAAATCCAAGCCAATGTTGTTTTGGAAATGTGAAAGTAGAATGAGATTAAAATTAAACCCTTCTTTTGTGTTTATAAACTGGATTTCATTTCTCTCCATTATTTTTGGTATGTTTGCATACTAATGTTGTCCCTGGTACAGAGATCCGCACTCAGGCAGGCTCCCAAGCCTCATGCCTGACAGATTTAGGGACCTCTTCTGCAAGAGGTGGGCAATATTTAGTTCAAGCATACAGCATGACGTGCTCCCAGAGGTTAATGTATTGGTGCATGTGCAAAGATAGTGTTATTTTAATTATATGTGCCTTCCAGCTTGTCACCGATAAGCCACCGGCTCAGTTTGCGCTAGTCCGCTGACTTACACAAGTAGGAAAATATGCCACTTGCTTCCCCTGGCTTCTCCCTGAGAGGCTGTAATTCAAAAATATATATTCATTACATATGTAGAATAACTTTTTAACAGAATATAGTGCTCCAGCCCCTAGTAGGCTGAGATATTATTCTAACAGAGGGCCAAACGCTGGATCTCTATTCCCACTCCATTTGCGTAAAGCAACAGGTCATAAAGAGGAAGGGTGGCCACTGGGCTTACCTGCGAGTTCTGCTTTTTAAAAGCACATTGTTTTAAAATAACATCGTCGTTTTTGTGAACTGATGAACCTTTAAGGTGTTTGAGGCCCAAAGTACCAAGATGTCTTTCATACCCACTTTTGGTTGTGTGTTTCAGCAGTTCTTGCAAGTTGTCTGGAGCCGGTCTTTAACTCTTGATACACTGGAGCCTTTAGGAGGACTCCCAGTGATTCTCCAATGCCTTTAGACTCGGTAAAGATGCTCTTAAAAAGTTTTGTGCACTGAGAAGACAGTCTGTTCCCAGTGCCTATGATCTTGTTCTGTTGGAGGGCAGTCTTTTTTCTCCATTCCTCTCTCTCCTTTCCACAAGCTAAACTTGAAAGCGGCAGCAGCCAGCTATATGCTACCACGAGAGAAATTCAACAGTCCTTTCAGTCTTGCCCGAGGGGGAGGATGGGGAGCAACAGCACAGCCTCAAAGAAGAGTTTTCTTTGCTTTAGTTTTTGTTTTTTAGCTTCATATTTTGAGCACAAGTCGAGTTATTGTTCTGTAGCTCTGTTCAAAAGCCTCACATCTGAGGCTTTTGAGTGCAACTGTGGTTCTATGGTTGGGAGCATGGTTATTAGGTGTTTGGATCGGGTTTGGCAGTAAGCTGTGAAAACAGGCACTGGTTTATTTTTCCTACTGACTGCCGTGACAGTTGCAATTATTGTCCATTGTTCCTAGGTGGCTAGAAAGGAGGGAGGATACAATAGAGCATTGCCCTCTGGGGGTAAATGAATTTGACTTACAGGTTCTTGGGGGGTCAGGCAGGCTGATTATTTAGTGCCCAGGAATGCGGTTTTCATGGCACCGCCAGCCATGAGCGGCCAACAAACAATGGCTCAGCTGTATTGCAGCTGTATTTAGTGAGGCAGCATGAAAGGTGTGCAAGTTGAGCTGCTTTATACTCACGTACGCGTGTACAAACACACATATATTATGCTAGAAAATGTTTTTTGCCCTTCTATAGGAACGTAGAGTTATTAAGTTTTCCAGTTGTGATTTTTTAATTAACTTCTCTCTGTATTTGGCCTGCCAGCTGCATTTTTTCCCTTCTCATGTCTCTATTAGTGATGTTTGGAAACCCCACAAAAGTAGTGTCTTATTATTAATACACCCTGGAATGTGGACAGCACTAGAAGCTGTACTGCCCAACTGTCTTATGCATTGAATAGTTTTTTCCATTTAACTGTTCAAAATTTCATTGTGTTTTTCATTAGATCTGGGGGAGTTTTAGTACGTCATGTGCTAAAGTCTGAGCACTAGGCTACATATTGTTAATGCCCCAGTCTGTGTTATTACCATTGAGTTTTATTCTCTGGGAGAGATTAAAAGAAAGGGAGATGAAGAGGAAGGCTTTATTTTCTATTAGTGTGATTTCTTTTAAGTTAGAAGGCAGTAATATTTTATTAAAGACGGGGGAGTTGGTGAATGGCTGGAAGTCACCAGACTCACACGTTTTGTATTCAGTTGTTCCTCTTAGTTGCTTTGTTACCTTCGGCAGCTACTTTAAGCCCCCCCTTTCGTTATCTGCATGCCTGTGCAACGGGAGAACCGAGTATCTGCAGAGATCCAGCTGCAAACTTCAAGATCACAGTTAGAAGGATCTATATATGTCCAGTTACTAATGGAAAAGGCAATGTGTTCTTTTAATCCAGGGCTTGACTGAAAGGTACGGCAAGGGAATAGTGTTAAAATGGGGCAAAATCTAGAACCTTTTGTAGAAATTGTAGCTCAAATGCCTCTGTTTGTTCAGAGAGATAGTCTGGGGCTAAATAAATAATACAAGTTTGGCATTAAAAATTTCTTAAGAAATTCTGCCTTGAAATCCCTGGGATTTTTACTCTGCTCAAAACAAGTCACTCTATAGTAAAACCCACAAAACATGCCGTTAAATCAAAGTATTTTAAAGTAAAGCTGTAAAACTGTATATTGAATTGAGTAAAGCCTGTTCAAACTTACTTATATCCATCATATTCAAAAAACAGGGCTCAAAAGGCCTCTGGATTATTCATGGATAATGCAGTTTATTGGATTCAGTGGAGCAGAGAGATCTTCAGGTCTCAAACCGATCATCTACAGGAAGGAAAATTATACCCCCTTTCTGCTGTCAGTGTAGCTGCCTGATAGCTGTGCCTTGCAGGGTGAAAGTGGCTGCTGTCCTCCAAAGCAGTGTTAACCAGCTGCAGGAGATGCAGCATCTGGGGTAGGCTGTCAATAGTGAAAGGTATAAAAAACATATTTCCACACTCTTGTCAGTGCCCATCCCTATATATGTAAAATTAACAGGAAGCTTCTCTTTCTCTGGTGTTGGGTCTCCTCTGAGCAGCTCTCAAGAAACAGTGCTGACCCCTCAGGTGCATCACGAGGTTCACAGCCTTGCTAATGCTGGTGTGAGTGAGACAGCTTTAGCCACGATGAGAACTCTTAGTTTTTAAAACTTCCCCTGTGTGCACAAAGCCTTCCTGCTAATCTTGTCCATCTCTGGTTTATTGAGAGTTGTCAAGAAATAAGAATGCATATTTTGTATGTTCTCCACTTAGCTAATTTTGAATAGGTATGTAGAACAAAAGACTAAATAGACTTTTGTTTCCAATCTTTCTGAGTTGGTTTTCTGTTGAAGGGAAGGCATTGTTAACAGCGATTGCGCCTGAATCTCTCAAGAAAGACCGGGCAAGCCTGAACCTGATTTTTTTGTTATTGTTTGAAAACCCTTTTCTATTGTGCAGGGTAGTTCGTAAACAACTCAGGTGAAGTGTTTTCTACACTTAACTGTGAAAGGGATGGTCATTAGGTTAAACTCAGCTCTTCATTGTATCCACTTAAATCTAGGTGACTCCAAAGGCTGTGGTGGAGTAACCACAGATTTATGAGTGTCATTGAAAGCAAGATTAGCCTACCAATCCTAATCTTTAATTCAGGATAACACAGACGTTTGTTTTGTGCGAGAAACTGTGTTCCAAGTTACGTGAAGTGTCAGGTATTATATGGTGCTGTGTTTGATGTGTGATAGAGCTGTGTTAGCTGAAGACTCTCATTTTGCTTATGTGTTCAGAAGATGGGGCATGAGAGAGTACGCAGTGAACGGTTTTAGGACTGCCAATAATGGATAAAGAGAAATAATCCATTCAGCGATACTATAGCTCATCAGAGCCCATGAATTAAAGACATATGTTATGTAGATTCAATGTATGGATTAAAACGGATAATCTGGTAGGTGACACACAGAATCTTGAGATAAGTGGGCTATGCAGATTCGGTATATGGATTGTGACGGATAATTCCATTTAAGTAATGCTGGACAAGTTGAAGACAAGTAAGCTTCGGGTAGTGCTCAGGTTATGTGCAGTAATCCAGTGAGTGACACTTTGGATCACATAATCTGTAAACTGGAGACAAGGAAGCTGGGGATTCTGCATTTAGATGTGGACAGGAGGAAGGAGGGGGAAGGGGAAAAAGATTATTCGTGGGGAATACACTGGGTTTAAACCTTTGACTGATGCGGCACAGATCCCCAGGAGATGTGTGAAAGCTGCACACTTTCGTAGAGCTGTGTGAGTTTTGCATTTGCACACTG